CATGTTGGTACATTTTGATTCATTCATGTTTATAGTAAAATTCAAGTGTGATTTAAAATGTCTATGCAATGCTTTTTTGATGTTTCTATTACTCATTTTTACGTTCAGGGTTCAAGAATGATATTTTTGCCTGAAACTTAGTTCATCATTTCTATTGATGTTACAGGAACTAGTTTATTTGTGTGCTTGTGAAGCATGCATATAGTGTAGTGAGGTCTTTGTGCTCGTTCTCCCTGAAGGGTTTTAAAAGATTGCAACTCATGAAAATGTTCAAAATCATATCAATTATTTTCACTAATGAGTTTTTCTTTTATCATAAAACTGAATAATAGCATCATAATTTCATCCAAAGGTCAAAAGGTGATGACTTAAAAATTGTTTTAAAGATTACATTTACAAGAAATAAAAATAACAAACAAACAATACTTTCAATCACAGGATTAAAACCCTGTTTTGCTTGGAAAAGTGACTCATAAATTATGGAAAAAGTCTTAACAGAACTCCTTTCTCTTTTTATGCAGATCTTCAGTCTTGAATAGTTAATTACAATTATTAAATGTACAAGGCATAGTCAGTCCTCTTCACTGTGTGTCTGGGAAGGCAGGATGGAGTAACTGGCACAAAATATTAAATGTACTAGATATGTTTGCAATGCAACACAGTGACTTTTTGGAAGTCTAACTTGTAACAGTCAATTGAATCATCGGACAGGGCTGTTGAACATGGTTGTCCACGTATTTCTAATAACACAGTGGGGCCTATTTAGTTTAAAAAGTCAAATATACCAGGTCATAAACGCATGTTTAAGAGTGTTGCACCTAATTGAACTATCTGCAGAAACGGTGTGTTGTCCTCACTTGACCTTGACTTAAAGAGTCCCAAATAGGTTATATCCTAACATATATTCCGAGTAAAAAATATATATGTTTGTGGTCTATTTTAACAGGTGAATGATCTGCCAGGTTGAAAAAAACTCCTTTATCTGTACACCCTCTAGCAGAGAAAAGTCGATTTATTTGTATTTGTTTTTCTTGGTCCCTGCTGAGTCACTGCTTCCTCTAAACGCTTCAACTTTCGCTTTCCATTTCCATTAAACCGCCTGTCCTCTCTCAGCAGCAGGTGTCACCGTTGCGCTGCACAACCTTGAGCAAATGGTCTTTAATTTAGCAAAAAGTTGATAGTTCAAATATAAGCAGTAACACGTTACTGTATTTAGGGCAGTAACTAAACGTGCAGACATTTTATTGGGGAAGTTTGATCTGTTAATATTCATGACAAAAATAGAAATTCCCACCAATCCATCAGTTTCTCGGAAACAGGAGCAGCAGCAGGATAGTGGCATGATGCAACCAGGATAATGTGTGTGTGTGTGTGTGTGTGTGTGTGTGTGTCAGAACTATTTGCAAATTATGCATGCAGTGACGTTCGATAATACGAAAACTTTATGTAAAAATCTAAAACAACACCTTTTGTGGGTTTTGAATAGTGACATAAGTATCCATGCATCTTATTAAAGCTGCAGTACGGCACCTGCAGTCTTAATAAAGCTGCTTTTCGGCACCTGGTGTCTTTGCGGGGGGTTTTCCTGTGGGAGGTGACGTGTGACGTTCAGGGGGTTTCCGACCCCAAGCAGCCAATGAGAGCGAAGCTGCTGCGGAACCACTGAAGTGAAGTGAACTGCGCTTCAACATCTTCAACACATGTCAAACTGCCTGTCACCAGTCGGTACACACACTTAGAGCTAGCCTTGTTTACCTGAGCTGTTTATTCAAAGTTTCACCGCAGAGACTAATACCGAAAATATTCCGGTTTGGAAATAACTACAAGGACACGACGGTGGAGTTCATGGTCCTTAAGGACAACTCACATGCGATGAAAGACATGGACATCTTCAACGGCACAGGTTTCAGTCTTAATCTTTACGTTTGTGTTTATGTGTATGTGTGTGTGGGAGAGGGTTGACATCACCGGCACCGGCAGGCATGTGATTTGTCAGAGCAGAGCAGCCAACACCCATTCCCGGGAACAAACACTCCCACCCGGCTCTCTCTGTTGGCTCCACTTACTCCTGGATAACATTTAACAGGTTTTATTCAGATGATTTCTGTTTGCAGTGCACAGCCTGCTCGAGTTTACTTAAATAAAACCTTGAGGTAGTCAACTTGATTTTTACATAAAGTAATTCCATTTTATCCTGCTTAATACTTCTCTATTACTTCCTTACAGAGGAATATAGCAATTTTTCTTTGACAATTTCAATTTCTTGAAGCCAATCACAAAATCACCTGATCAATTGTGATATATTTGTATATGTTAAGATGCCCAGCAGTAGCCCATATAAAGTAGTTGAGTTTAACCTTCCCTAGCTGCAACATTAAAGTGATATACTCATGAATACACCAATGATTATAATAACCCAGTGATATGATATTCATTATTCTGAAGTTGGACATAACTATCAAGTATATTTTGATTACTTTGATATCTTTCTTAAGTAACATATCTGAGTGGTAGTACTTATTACAACTCTGTCTGTGTCTCCTGCAGAGCCGCGAGGACCATCAGACTTTGGTAAGTTTCTTTTATCTTTTGCCCAAAACGCATAGTAAATCCCACATGTGTTTTTTGTGTTATTGCAACCTCATGGAGAAAGGAGAAGTCAGGCCATCTTTAGCTGGCCTATTTCTGCTTCCTCGTAGCACTTTGAGAACCAGACACATTTGCAGCACATGTTTAATTTGCTCTGACAGATGCATTTGTGATTTGTTAATGTGACATCAGGCTAGTGAGGAGACCCAGAGGAAACATAATAATACACAAGACCAAATAACAGCAAGCTAAACAGCATTATTAAACATTGTTCTATTTATGTTTTAAATGGTTTGCATTTAAGCCTGCAACTTATTTTAATAATTCATAAATCTACCTATTATTTTTGTAATGTAGGCCTACTTGTATTTTACTTTTTTTTTTTATTGTCAAAAATGTGTTAAAAAATCAAATTGTACTTATTCAAATTACACAATATCACTTGAATGTAATAATCTCTGCTGTGGTACTATTGTCACCATCTTAGCTGCAGGAAACTAGTTTATGTGTGAGTGTGGAGCCCCTGACATCTTACACCTCGACCGCAGGTGGAAATCAGTGTGCATGAGATTTATGTTCTGGTAACCATGGCAACATCACTGCTAAAACAGTTTACCACATCACATCTATATGTTTTGGTAATTGGCGGGACAATTTGGTGTCCTGATATAGAAACAAATGGATAGTGTGAATTATATAACAATTTAAGCTTGATCATATACATCAAAAAGAAATAAACACAGAAATAAATATATACACAAAATACAAACACACAGGGTTAATATATAATTATTATTGCCGGTGTCTTTATAAATCACACTCATTAAATAATGGCACTTACTCTGTGAGATATTGCCCTTTTGCCCACAGGTTTAATAATTCTTTAACATGTGAAAACCTTTTTTCTGATGTATGTGTAAGCTGTAAGAAAAACTAGTGGAAAACCCTAAAATATGCGTTAAATTATGAGTCCTTAGAGATACTAAATATATTACTACAATGTCCTTTTATACTAGTTCATCAGCAGAGTTCCTTCTTATTTTTGGATGTTTTACCATCTTTATATCCTTCTGTTATAATAAATTAAATAAATTGCTCTTTTTGTAATTTCACAGTACAGGTACTATGTAACAAAATTGTTCCTCTGCATTTGACCCATCCTAGTGTTAGGAGCAGTGTGCTGCCGTGTCCGGCGCCCGGGGAGCAGTGTAGGGAACGGTGCCTTGCTCAGGGACACCTCGGTAGCACTTGGTCTTGCCGGGACTCAAACTGGTGACCTTCCAGTTGCCAAGCCAAGTCCCTATCGACTTCGCCACCACCGCTTATATATCATCAGCTATGAAGTTTTCATAAAAAATATTATTATTTTCCAGACCTCATTCAGGAGATCATCACAGAGGACGGGGGACAGCGGCTGCAAGCCCTCCTGCCCGGCCCCCCCGCTCCTCCTGCTGACCTCTGCCAGCCTCAGAACCACAGGCTGCTCCAGCAGAGCTCCTCTCCGCCCTCTCAGCCTGTGCTAGTGGCGAGAGGCACCGCGTGTCAGGTGAGAGGGTAAAACACATCTTGTGGTGTGCTGTCACACTGTGGTGTTTTGTACCAGTGTAGTCATTTGTGTTGTTTCTCAGTTATAGGTTTCCTACATTTCCCAAAATGACTGTAGGCAACACCCAGAGTACTGGGCCTGGCTCAACTGCAAATGGGGCGACAACAGGCCTTTATAACACATGGATAAAGTTAAATGATATACAATACAGACCTCTTATTATTAAATATTGTAAACACAGTTAGAGAAGCATAATGTTGCCTTAATGTCAAGACTTATTACTAATAATTTAGACCGTTAATAGAAAGTCTACCATTTTACTCTGTCTGCCAGACCTATGGCTTTTCCACAGCTTGTCCTTATCTAACATAGACTTCATTAAAACAAATGGTCAGTTTACCTACTTGTTGGTTGTCAAAAATAATTTCAGAAATGTTGTTATTCTTTAAATGAAATATTGAGCAAAAAGGACATGGATATAAGTATTCCAGATTCTCAAACACACGTTTCTGTTGCTTTGTTGTTTTGTTTTTGTAATTTATCTGATTAGCCTTAAAGTATAGGAAACCCTTCAGTTCACACTGTTACCTTGAGCTCTTGAAGCTTGATGTCATTTCTCACAATTTTCTCTGACATTTTAAAGATTCACCAATTGACTAACTAAAAAATCTGCAGATTTACCACTGAGAAAAAGTGTTTGTTGCACACCTAGAATATACCCACATTTTGTTATATGCAGCCACAAACAAATGTTTACACCTCAATGTTATTTAGTCCTTGCTGCCCTTATGTTGATATTGAATATGCTTGTGAATAATCATTCTCTGTTAGGATGAACTCAAAATGGGACTGCAGATTTTGTGGAAAAGTATTTGTTGTATGGATTTAATGTTGGTGGAATTCACTGCAGTGTAGTACACGTGTAGCCTGCAGAGGGCTGGTTGTTGTTGAGAGGAGTATTCAGGCAGCTCGGGCTCTTACCATAAAGCACGTGGTTTACAGCTCAGACGTGTTGTAATCTGATGACACTACAGTGAAGATGTGGCATCCTCAGAGAGCTCTTAATGTAAGGCACAAGAAGACAGCCTAAAGTCTTTATTAGCAAAGGATCTGCATGTGAAATTGCAAAAATTGGGTTTTTTGTATTCAAATACTGTTTGTTAAGAGGGACTTGCAGCTGTGATAGAGGCTGACACACCTCCTCCGCATGCTTTTCTGTGGGAGGAGGCTGAGAGAGAGAGAGAGGAGGAGTGGATGGAACAACTGTAATATGACTCCCTTTTTCAGTTTGACGTCCTTTCTGTTTACAAGCCAAACCCACCAAGGGGTGAAAGTTCACATTCTTCTTCCTGAGACGCTTCTTCAATTGGTCGATTGGTTGAGCTGACTTCCTATTTCCTGTTCGCTGCTCACTCTGCCAGGCTATTGTTTAGCTCCAGTGTTTTCAGGCTAACAGGTTTGGCCAGGCTTTGACAATAGACGTCTGTTTCTTGACCGGATATTGTGAAGCATGATCTCATGCTGAGGCATCACCCAGATCTCTGCTGCAGTTTAATGAGCTCCCAGCCTGAGTTTCTGCTTCACAGGTGACAGAGAGGTCAACTTCTATTCTTCTTTGTTCCCTACAGGTTTGATTTCTCATCTGTCGTTACATTGATGCTTCAGATAAACGTAATACTTGAGGGTGTTTTTATATATTCTTCCTTTTACGTCACGTGTAACCCATTCAGAGACCTAAGTGAACAGAACTTAACAAGTGAAGCAAGGGAGCCCTGCAGAGACTGTAGCTAGAGAAAGTAAAAGCAGCATGAGAGACATGCAAGAGTCTTGAGAGGGATGGAGAATAGGGTATCTGTGGTGTAAGGGGGAAATAAGACATTGAAGCGAAGGAGGAGTCAAATGAGCGCATGGTTGTTGCATTGATAGAGAGACAAGAAGGGTAGGAAGATAAAACGTGTAGTGACTCACTTCATTTCACTTCAGACATGCACAATGCTTCACCTACAGTGTTATCTGCTTGAATGGTAGCTTATCTTATATATACTTTAGATTTGTCTCTGATTGTAAGTTTATGTTGTTTTCTGATTCTACGGGAAGGTTATTCATTAATTTGATTTTTATTACGAGTCAAATATTGTATCATTTACTTATTTGACCCTTAAAGAAATGTTTATAAGGGTAAATGTGTCATTGTTGTAACTGATAACAATCCATAATCATCCATAAAAATGACCCCAAGAGATTGGCTTATACATTTAGGTGTTTATTTGACTAACTTGTCATCTAACTATTACCGCCTGTATTCCTCCTAAATTCAACAAAAGTTAGATAATGTCTTATTTGCGTATATCAGAAGTTTGGGAATCATTGGGTCTTTTTATCAAAAATATTAATCTAAATATATTTGAATAATATTAATGTAAGTGTGAAATGGTAATGCTAGCCCTAATTGCTCCCAAATGAATACCCAACAGTGTGTGTGTGTTTATCTCTGCTGTGATCCGGTGGTCCCTTCTAGCCCTAATTGTGTGTGTGAATAGGTGAACGTGGGACTGGGTTCTAAAAGCTGTTTGAGTGGTCAAAAAACTGGAAACGTTTTATAATTTGGCAGTGTAGAAATATAGAGTAGCAGGTAATGACATTATCTTTAGATGGATATTATTACGCCTCAAGAGCACACAATAGAAGTTGCTACATGTTTTGTAGGAATTCAGCTTGATAAGTGTCCATGTTTTCTGCTCCAGCCATTTGAAACAGTTTCTTTATTCTCTTGAACCTCTTTTATGCAGCTGTCTTGACCACGTCTCCAATGAAAGAGAGGTTGCCAACTTCAATGGGTCTTACCAGGTTGGATAAATGATAAATAACAATGTTTATAATGTTGTTCTATTGTTTCTCCACAGCCAACCTGCACCTTCCCTCAGCCCCCGTCCTGCCCTTCCAGAGAGATGGCTCATCCTTCCCGACCTTTTGCATCCAGTTCCTCTCGGCGTGGTCGAGGCTCCTCGTGTTCGCTGGCTTCCAAGAGCTCCAGCGGTGTTTCCTCTCAGAACCGCGGAGGCGACAGCGAGATGCTGGAGCGGCTACTGAACAAGCCCAAGCTGGTGGTGGTGGAGGAGCCCAAGGAGAGAGGCATGAGGTTTCGCTATGAGTGTGAGGGGCGCTCGGCCGGAAGCATCCCGGGGGCGTCCAGCACCGAAACCAACAAGAGTCAGCCTGCCATCGAGGTAAACACATTACACTTACATTTGTTAATTCGTGTTAGATCTTAAAGGGGGTTTACTAGCTCTCAGTGGCAGTTAGAGAAGTTTTAACCACAGTTGATAATGTTTGGTGTGTACACTTGAACCCCTTGTTGCGAGGAGGGTGGAGCTGCAAGGATGTGGGTTGCTAGTCAATAAGAAAGTCCCCACAAATCCCAGCCGAAGTGTGGTCAAAGAGGGGCGGTTTGTCACCTTCCCACATTCTGACAACACTACTACACTTTCATCTTCGCGTTATACAAACATACATATCACACAACGAAGAGGAAACACAAGGTGTGTGAGGATTTTGTCAATGAAAAATCAGTGGATTTCTGCAATTCATGTAAATGAAATGTAGATATCTTAGTAAAACCCCTAATTAATATTTAATTTTGGCATTTCCGTTCTTTTTGGTGAACTGATACTACATGGACTGGTTATCAGATATTTGTCACAAACAGGTCAGTTATAATAGATAGAAATAAAAGCAATGGAGTGTTCAAATGCAGAAGTAAGAAGATTGAATATGCTAAATATATGCACAAACACAGACACCCAATGGTGTGAAGAACAGAAAGAAGGCTTTGATTGGCACATCATCTGAATTTCTCCCCATGTCCTGTATTTCTTAATATTTATTTTATTAAATCTTCACAATGTTTCTCAATTTGAAAGCTCCCCTTCTTGTTTCTGTTGTCTTGTAATATTATGCCATGTTGCGCAATGTGTGTTTTTATGTCACAGATGCCTTGTAATTTTGACTCCCCCAAACTTCTGTATTTAATCTTCCTGTTCTCTCTTTCAGATTCAAGGTCCCATCGAACACTTAAAGAGGGTCACAGTTACTGTTTCCTTGGTGACCAAAGACCCTCCACACCGGCCTCACCCCCACTGCCTTGTGGGTAAAGACTGCCCGAATGGATCAGGAATCTGCGTGGTCACGCTCAACCCTCACAGCAACCGACGTCACAGGTGCTCCTCCCATCCCTCTTTCATCTCCTGCATCAACATGCCACTTTTTATCAAACAGTTTATTCCTCAGACTCGTACAGTAACCTCATTATAGATTTGTTGTAGTGTCCATCATACAAAATAGTAAGTATTTATTGTCTTCTGGACTTGAAGCTTTAGTAACCTTGGGATCCAGTGTGTGAGGAGGAAAGAGCTGGACGTTTCACTTCAGAAGAGAAGAAACCAAAATATCGACCCCTTTCAAAGTAAGATGAAACAAAAGACACACACACGCACACGCACACGCGCACACACACACACACACACGCACAGTTAATATTGTTATGTTTGTACACATCAATACATTTGAAATACAAATGGATGGCACAGTTTCCTCTTTCTTGCTGTTGAAATTCATTAAGACTTATTTTGTGTCTTCCCCCCCAGCTGGTCACACAAAGGGCATTGAGGACATGGACATGAACGTGGTACGTCTGTGTTTTCAGTGTGAGTTTGAGTGGGACGACGGGGGGAAGGACTGTCTCAGCCCAGTGCTGTCCAACCCCATCTATGACAAGAGTAAGAAACAGTCTCTTGATTAAACCGCACCAATCATGTGTTAATGTGTTTCCTGATTCTCACGCGTTGTTGCATGTTGTGTTTTGTTTGTTCACAGAGGCCACGACCACATCTCAGCTGAAGATCGGACGTTTTAACCAGTACAGAGGCTCCTGCGCCGGCAAGACGGAAATCTACATGTTGTGTGACAAAGTGCAGAAAGGTAAGAGGACGTTTATTTGTGTTATATTTGTGAACGGCCAAACGTTTTTTTTTGTATTTTTTAGGCAAAGACCAATTCTATAAAACGTATTTCTTTGTTCATTTTTTAGTAGTGAAAGGGGTTTCTGTTACCCTGCCAAAAGACAATTAACATTTAAAAAAAGTCAGGTATCATGAACTTAACTTGAAGCAAGGGAAGTCACATAAAAGTGGTTGTATAATGTTATGCCTCTTTGTGTAATGTATAACCTGATATTCTGTAACCAACTGTTATTTCAAAATTAGGAAGTATTTTTCTCATTGATTTTGATTGCCCTGGCTTTGCGTGTCGTTGATCCACAGATGACATCGAGATCATCTTCAGGCGAGGCTCGTGGAAGGCGTGCGGGGAGTTTGCGCAGACAGACGTGCACCGGCAGATCGCCATCGTGTTCAAGACCCCGCCCTACCAGGAGCAGGACCTCACGGAGGAGGTGGAGGTCAGCGTGGTCCTGCGGCGGCTCTCGGACCAGATGGAGAGCGACTCGATCACCTTCACGTACCTGCCGCACAACCCGGGTCAGTCAGCGCTGTCTGTAGGGCGGTTTACTTGATGTGAAGCAAAAGCATCAGATCATCTTACTGGCCGAAACAAAAAACATCAGGTCAATTATTATTTCCTCTTTTCAGATCCATACGAGGTGAAACGGAAGAGAAAGATAAAGTCGGACATCAGCTTCAGAGAGAAATCGTGTGGGACAGGTGAGGCCTGAAAGACTTTTCTTACATTCAATTTATGGATCCTTCTTTCATGTTTACTTCTTCCGGAGGCAGGTGGAGGTGAACTGATTCAATGAAGCAAGAAGTCTTTGTGTCCGTTTGACATTTTTGTATTTTTAGCAGCTAACATTTTGACTTGTCACAGCAGGTAAAGCACAGGTGATACTTATTATATTAACAAAGGCTCTGTTGTATTAAAGCTGAGAAGATGTGCGTTAGTAACTTACACTACATGTTTAAATCTGCCTTCATGTATGACCAGAATCTGCCCCTTCTATGTTCACACTAAATGTAGGCACAGAAGTCACATATACAATTACTGTGACTATAATGTTCTTATTATAATTGTGTTATAGCTTATTTAATTTATATTTAAGGCACAATTCTGTATTCAAGATGATTGTCAGCTCTGAAAAAAATATAAAGAAATATATATATATATATATATATATATATATATATATATATATATATATATATATATATATATATATATATATATGCACATAGTTCTACATCCAAATCTACACATACTGAGGTAGAATACAAATATATTCTTTATGAAAGGTAGGATTTATAGCAGTATTTATTAGACTGCATTCGTTTTAGCTAGGTGTTCCCAATTAACGGGATGTGTCTATATTCATATTTTTAATATATTACACGTAAGGAGGGTTTTGTTATCACTGAAATGTCTTGAAATAACTACATTTATTTTAGGCTTTAGATATTAACAAGCTTCAAATTGCAACAATCTCATGTCATGATCCAAGTTTAAAGTTTTCTACCTTATAACAGACCTTTCATTACGTTTGTATTTCCTCCCTAACCCAACCTGTTCCTCTCCTGCAGCAGACGGGGCCCCTGCAGCGGAGCAGCCCTTTCACTTCCCGCAGCCTCAGACCATGATGCCCCCGGAGGACCGGCTCTGTGCCCCCCAGCCCGGGACCTTCGCTCAAGAGGAGATGCAGTACAGCGAGCCCCAGGACTCCAACACCGACACCGACACAACGACAATCATCAACCAGATCCTAGAAATACCTGAACTACGGGAAATGCTTTCCGACCCGAGCTTCAACATGTCCCTGTCCTCTGGCTTTGAGCAGGGGCCCGATGCAAACCTCTCGTTTGCAAACATGGATTTTAACTTAAACCAGAACTTTAGCACATACTCTCAGGACTTTTCCCATTACAGCGACTTGCAGTTCAACATGCTCGTCAATGAGAGCCAGGCTCCGCAGGCAGAGGCCCAGGACAGCCCCTCCAACATGGTTCAGGTGAAGACAGAAGAAGAGCTATGAGGGCGGGACAGTCGGGGTCATGAAGCGCCCTCACACACTCTCTGTCCACTGTAAAAGAAACATTTTGGGTAACATTTTGGTCATAGCTCCTATTTGCGTTCTTGCTTAGAATGACCATATCCAGAGTGATATCTATCTCTGCAATGAAGTAAATAGGTGTATTTCCCAAAATGTTCTCCCTTGACTCCTCTGGATTTACAGCCAGATGATGCTGCTCCGGCTGCTTGCACTGTGAAGCTGTCTGTCCTCTCACTAATGTCTTTGTCTGAAGACCTTGCCGGTCAAGGCTTTAAGAAACAAGTTAACATTCCATCATATGTGGCAGTGAATGCTGTCAGCATTAATGGTCAGAAGAAGGTGATTCCCATGGTCAATGTGGGTCTTAAAAAGAGAACTTAACCTAGGAAACAACAGAAACCCTCCCATGAATTGCCTTCCATTGTAGTAAATGATTGGTGAGGTCACTTTTAAATGTTGAAATGTAATCTTTGTCTAAGATCTATTATGTTTGCTTTCACATGATTTTGGGAGAAAAACACGACTTCCTACAAGAAGTTGATGTACAGTTTTTGTTTTAAAGTAGTAGTTTCAGATCTGCGCTTCACATTGTCTTCTCTGATGTAGCTGTCACACTAGCTGGCTTAATATTTAATCAAACTAAATACAATAGAAACCAGTCCTTCTCTTATTTATAGCTCTGTCCGTGTCACTTCCCATTGTTCTGCAGTTTCACTCTCGTGCAAAACAGTCAAATTCCTTGTCACATGTCCAACTTCAACCCCTCACTGGGGCATGTTTGGGTCAATAATTCATCAAATAAAATGTCCGTCTGTTATTTTTGTGTTGTCGTTTCTTCCTCTGAAACACACTTATTCTTCTGGGAGGTTCTGATAAAGATTGAAGAGCAAGAAAAGCACTTTTAAACATGTCCTTCGGCTGCTTGCCAACTCACGTTCCTAACGTACTTGTTTATTTCTAGAAACAATGAATCTTGGCAATAACACAAGATGGTTTTATGTTTCAAATGTCAACATTGAGTCTTTGAGAGAAACGCTCAGGTGAAAGGTTCTCTTGTGTGTTTATGGTTATTTCACACCTTGTGTTCTCTTTATTTGCAGTTTCTCATCTTCACACAATGTGTTTTTCTTGGAAAGCTGACATATTTAACAGTAATCCACAGCGAAATGCATTTGGATTATTGCGTAACTCCAGGAAGTTTCATAGATTGACAGATTGGGAAATAGCTGAACTACAAAATGTCCAATGTGTCCATTTTGATACCATTTATGGTTGGATTAAAATCTTTCACTATTTAAATTCTCTGTTTATTTACTTACAGTGAGCCAGCATATAACTGACCACGGCACAGGGAAACTAAACTCAAACACAATAAACGTTCCTTTTAATTCAGAGTTGTTTACTGACGTAGCTTATTTTAAGTTTATTCAAAAACACAAGTGTTGATGACGTGAGAGTACATCATTGTTTGTTAGGTTCACACAAAACAATTATCTTTCTCATGACATCAGGCAGCTTCTTTTAATTGTATGTCAGTCAGTTTTGCTAAATAGATGATTTGGTTTATAAGTTTCATGAAACATTCTTCTTTAACCTCATTGACTAAGTGATCACGAGTCTAAAGTGGAATCTTCAAAAGGATTGAACAGCTCAAAAATATACAATTTAAAATCAAATAACCAACATTTATCAGAAATTCAATCCAAAAATGGTTTTGAATGCAATTTATGATTAGGATCAATTTGCGGTGGGTTCTTCCCACACACAAACCTGTTTGTGAAGAGCTTTATATAACTCAGTCCTCCATCAGGCCAGCTGGTTACCTGTGTGCTGCTGTGGGTGTGTCGTGAGAGCAGGTGTGATACTCTCTGTCACTGTTCACTTGATCTGAATGCAGAACTGATGGCTGCGGGAAACTCCACACTGGACTGTGTCCAAGCTCTCATTACTTCATGATAATGGTACCACCACACACTGCTGCTGAGACTTGTATGGACATGTTCACGCTACCATCGTAACCATACAGTCTGTGGCTGGAACATGGCAGAAAGGTAGTGGTTTAAGAATGATGTATGTAATTAATTAAGCGTCTTTGAGTTTCCTGAAAAGCGCTATACAAGTCTCATGTATTATTATTAATTGCCTTTTTTATTTGATAAAAATATATGCATGATTAGTCATGGCAATTAAGAACATTTAATTGATATATTTGTTTTTAATGAAATGTTTTAGTGATGCAACCTTTCAGTGGTAAGAATCTTATCCGGTTAAGCAAGAAGAGGGAATTTCCTGGCTCAACTATTCCGCTTTAGCGCCTGCCTTTAAAACAAATTGAAGACGTGTATTCACAGATATGATATCGTATATGACATATTATAAAATGACCTGTTTTATGACAAACTACTACTACTTTGATACCACAGAAGATCAATCAATATGCATGTGTTGATTATGTTTAATATTTATCTCAATCTACCAAGTAACTAGTTATCAGATAAATGTTTGAGTTAAAATATTTAACTCTGAATGTAGACAAACTGTTTAAAGTAGCAGAAAACACTAATCAATTATACCCAAGTTAAATACTAGGATCTTAAATAAGAAATGTTTTAATGTAAAGGGCTTTGACATGCAGTGGTATGTATAAGCAAAGCAATGACTGTGACTCTTTTATATAGTTTGATACATCTTACTATAAACATTATACATACAAACATCAATGTTTGGCCAAAAGTGGATTAGTAAGGAGGTAACTATCATATAAAGATATTGGCTTAAACATATAAATACATTTGAAACAGACATCTTACACATGGGCCATGGTGATCCCGGTAGGGGGGACAATTACCAAATTTGGTATGGTGTTAAACTTGAATTTGGAGGGTTTTTTGTTTATCATGTGCAATATAAACGGGGTAATTCTAGCCTGGAGTGGCTCTGTTTACAGGGGCAGGTATCTCACCTCTCTAGGTTACAACACCCAACTGGAGTCCCCTGCACCCGGAGGGACTCCCCATCGGACAATTATAGCACGCTGCGACCACAAACTGCACAACACCAGTACAAGTCTCACACATCAGCCAGGAGGAGGTGAAAGCGAAACCAGGCCACAAACGGCTGCTTTTATGTCTCTTTTTTTCCATTGATTAACCCTCGCACCATATAAGGACCTTAGCGATACGGTGTGTTCGTGGAAAGATGTTTGGTTTATTACGTCACTTGTTTGTTTTGATAGTACCAGCATCATCTTTGCCAAGAGAATTTCCGTGATACCCGGTATTTTCAGAGTTTTTGGAGCTATAACACATTAACCACAGCTCTTTGGCTTTAATTCACTTCTGTTTTTCATAAATTGCAACTTGGTTTTAATACAACAGTCCATAATCCAATTGAGGCATTATATCTCTCTATTAAATGGCAACTTAACTCATTCAAAGCATTTTAGCTCCATCTACTGGGGAAACAGATTCCTTTCAGTAATTAGGGTAAATCCTTTAAAGTAAGTAAAACATGTATTCAGAGGCTTTAAAGGTCACCATATTATGCAAAATCCACTTTTTCATGTCTTTTACACATAAACATGTGTCCCCTCTGTATAAAGAGATTCTGAAAGTTTCAGGAAAAAAGATTTGCTCTCTTTTTGTCCTGATCCATTTATATAAAAACCTGAATGAAAATGAGCTGATCAGATTTTGGCCACTTTATGATGTCATAACGGTTTTTTAGCTTGTGTAACCATTAGCCAATCACCAACCAAGGTAACACCCGCCCACCTTATCACCTGAATCTCCTCCTAGAGCACAGTGTGTTCTTTTTAACCAAATATCTCTCAGAGGGGCGTGGGGAGTGGTTCCTTATTTTCATCTAAAGTAACAGACAGAGAATCAGCACTTTGGAAACAGGGCTGAAACAGAGAGGATTATGGGATGCTACAATGCATGATCTGTTTGGTATTTCAAGCCAAACATTTCAGAGACATGTTTTGTATACATCTTAGAACTATAATATATTGATGAAAAACAGTATAATAGGGGACCTTTAAGAATCTGTTTGAGATCCTGCTAACCTGTCCAGGCTTGGATCTGTACTGTATGGTCGCAGTTAGTACTAGTTTATTAATAAATGTGGTATTTGTCCCTTTACAACTGCATCTCATAACATTGGGCTGCCTGGATTACATTTTTTGTTGTGATATTAACTTAAAAAGGAGACACATTTATTATGCTAAATTGTCAGGCTTATACTTGTATTCAAGTAGAAGCTTAAATAATATGTCTTTCCCATACTGTCTGAATATACCTGTAGTCACCCTCACAATCATGCTGTGAATCGGTTAACTACAAAATTAGTGAACTGATTAAATTAAATTAAATAATTATTGGAGAACAGATGAGCATAAACAAAGTTTAAGAAAAAAACATGAATCTTTTATTTTGTTTAGATATCCTGTACAAGGGCCTGATATCACAGCTGGTCTGGAGGGTTTACACTTCATTCTTAAAATGTACTTATGCGTGGATCTTGAATACAAACTGAAATAAATAAGAGTTACTCCAACATGACCTCGTCATTTGTGTCTCTTCTGTCTTCGTGTCGCTCTCAGATGGAAATACAAGCTGTAGAAAGTTCTCCCAGGGGATGGGGCTTCAGAAACAGAAACTTGGGGACCGTCCCACCACCTCTTCAAGTTCAACCTACTTGAGTATCTGTCTGAAAAGCTGCCTCTGTCGCTCAGAGGAATCACTCCTTCACTGTGACGTGTGGCTCAGAGAGTTTCTGGATGTGCAGCTCCTCCACCAGCTGCTCCACACAGACCTTAAACAGAGGCTCCGGCTCCTGGGAGACAACAGGAAGGAGAATCATCACAGACTGCACACGGGGTTATTATTACAAGTTAATATTATTTTCCACATCTTTCAGGTGTATGTGTTTGGGTTAGGGTGGGATAGTGAGGTGTAATCTATAGCTTTGATTTGTAATGAATTCCATATTGAATATAGAAAACATTTTGAACTTACCTATGTTTATAATCCACATATTTATATTGATATAGTATTACAATATACAGTATTTTATAATAACCTAATGTATTTAATTGTATGTTGTTTTATCTCATTCAATCAAATTTGTATCTATTTCCTGCATCTTAATGGGACCATTATATCACTTGCATTACTTTGTTACACAATTTAATTTCTTTGTATGTCTTAATTAAATATGTTAAATTGTTGGAGTTGCTGCAGTAACCCTGTGTATATGACAAAAGTTTGAATCTTGAATCTATTGAACTTTTTTATGCATTTCTGTTGCGTCTTTAAAAGGTGCTGAATGAGTTTCGTGCAGCTGTGTTTGAGGTCTTACCTTGTGCTCCAGCTGCCTCTGCTTCTCCACGGCCTCTACCAGACTCAGACCGACCCACTCGACCTCCTCCTCTGGGATGTCAAACTGGTGCTTAGAAGGGAGGAAGCAGAAAAAGGAACTTGTCATTGTTTTTTTTAAACACAACTCCTAGCGTCTCAAGGGATACTATGCCAAGACAGACAGCAAAAATGAAACCACATAGCTTCAGACAGAAAACGTTAAGAAATGTAGACACATACTAAAAGAAACAAAACAAATCAATCATAGGGAACAGAGTCAGATTTGCAGCCAGGTGAATTTAAAAATATTGACATCCTTAAGTAAAAATACCAATAAATGAATGTCAAAATACTGAATTAAATGTAGTGGTGTAGAAGGATAGTGCAGCATAAAATGGAATTCAAGTAAAGTACAGGTACTTTAAATTGTAAATACAGGACTCAAGTTGTGTTTTTG